AGGTCCCGAGCCCCACCAGGAGTAATTCCTGAGTGCAGAGCCAGGAGTAACCCCTGAGCATCGCTGGGTGTGACTCAAAAAGAAAAAAAAAAGATAAAAGTAATGTAGTTTAGATAACCAATATAGCTATTTGATGTCATTTACTTATAACTACGTGGAACATTGATAGTTATGTATTTTATTCTAACTTTGCCATATATATTACTAGATTACGTTCACAGCGGATATTAACATTAGACCTCAATGCCTCTGAATCCAATTACTTGACTGCACCAAATTATTTCATCTTTAAGGAGCTCTTAATTCCTTGCTCATAACGCTCTGCTGAGGGATCACTGCTATGCCAAGGTCTGAACTGGGTTGGCCCCATGTACGGCAGGTGCTTTCATCCTGTAATATCTGGCCCCTTAATTTCCTTTAAGCTGAGTAAGTTGCAAAATCACTGATGACGAAAGGGCTCTCTGACGTCCTCTTTCTATTGAAAAACAGGTCAAAGAAACATTTTTCTTCTTACAGTTTTTACTGAGCTGTAATTGACTTTAACTTGGTGGAAATGAAAAGTACACTTTGATGATTTGATATATGCATATACTGTGAATGGTTACAGTGAGCTTAGGTGTCCTCCATCACTTGAGAAGAGCAGTCTTAGCTCAACACCAAGAGAAACCTGGAGAAACAAATTTACTAAAGTGACCCTGACCCTTACTTTCCTCCGATTCCCCTTTGTATGCCTTAGTCACTTTCCCACAATTCGCTGCCCTTTTGTCTTATCACATGACGAAAATTTTCAGTTTTTGTGTTAAAATCTGAATTAGCTTTGGGTCTAATGCCTCTTTTAGGTTTTTATTTAATTTTTGAAGATTCTTGGGTATGGACTGGTGAGACAGCATAGTGGGGTTGGACACTTGCCAAAACCCTGGGCACATTAAAATAAAAAAATACCTTCTGCGACACAGCAACAAAGAAGAAAACCGGCTGGAGGGCCCCACAGCTCCCGGAGAATGCTCCGGGCCCCAAGCAGAGCCCATATCACCAGGAGGTCCCAGATGGGGTAGGTGCTGCCGCCTCACCTTCTCCAGATGGAATCCCGGTGACCATGAGCTTCTACAAGCATGCGGGTACCAGGACATTTTTTTCCGAACCGTGCTGCCGTGTAAGTCTCCTTACATGCAAAGTCATTTTCTTATATGCAAAGTGATCAATGGAAAGTAAATGCAGAGGCAAGGTGGGGGGGGTAGGAGGGAGGGATACTGGGACCCATGGTGGTGGAAAATGGGCACTGGTGGAGGGATGGTGTTTGATCATTGTACAATTGAAACCCAAGCACATAAATTTGTAAATCTACAACTGTACCTCATGGTGTTTCACTAACAAAAATTAAAAAAAAAAAGTAAATGATGGAGAACGGGCACTGGTGGAGGGATGGGTACTGGATCATTGTATAACTGAAACCCAAGCACAAAAATTTGTAAGTCTACAACTGTACCTCATGGTGTTTCACTAATAAAAATAAAAAAATACCTTTTGCATTTTTTCTCCTGTTAATCTGTTTCATACCACTTTGATTTTTAGGCCAGGCACAGAATCCAAGAGAGCAGTTTTTCCTTCCCCAGCACATATGTAAAGAGATGAACACGGGATGGTTTGACCTTACCCGATAGAACTTTGGTTGGCAGAGTGCAAAGCAAGCAGCCCACCTGTTTTATCACTCCCTCCAGACTGTACAATTTTTTTTTTTTGCCCTTTAAAACTTGAAAGTTACACCTTTATTTGCTCATCACCTTAAATACTTCTTCAAATCTCATTGGCTATTGACCTGCATATCACAATAGAGGCTCCATGTGTCTGTGAGACCCAGTCTAGTATCTTCCTATCAGCAACACAATGTAGCGTCACTGAAGACTCATTCTGGCCACCACTAGATTATGAATGTTACTCACTGGGTGATGTATTCTTGCCAACAACATCTGATAATTGTAGAGATTACTACATTAGACTCATTGTGACGTTGGGTACTGCTGGGTCACTGGTGACTAGTATAGAAAAACTCTTTTCTTGGTGCTGTAGAAGATGCACTCCACCCTCTCGTGGAGGAGTATAGTACCATAGGAATTGAGAGAACAGAGATTTTTGAAGACCCACAGCAAACACTGGGGAATACAGAATTGGACTGAATTCCCCCTGGTTTTCAGGCAGTTAATCAGAAGACAATTTATAAGGATTAGTCGAGATGTAGGTGAGAGAGGTCTGAAAAAATGGACTTGGATATGTAACAGTGATATTTAGGTAAGGGCCAAGGACGGTGGTAAAGCCAGTCAGCAGAAATGGGTCTTCCGAGTGGTGGCAACATCCTCGTGAGAGAATGTCTGAACATTTTGAGGAAATGGTGGTTCATTTCATCATCGGCGAGTCAGGAATTGAAGTTTTTAAACAGTGGTTCTTGTACTGGGGCCTGACAAGGTTGTGCTCAAGGGCTGTTCCTAGCTCTGTGCTCAGGAGTGAACCCTGGCAGTGCTTGGGGAACTATATGTGGTGCTGGGGCTTCCAACCACAGTGGGAGTGATGCAAGGCAGGTGCCTTAATACTTGGTACCCCTGGACTGTCTCTCGAGCCCACAGGAATCTGCTTTGCTCTGCTAATCTGTCAAGAAGACAGAGCAAATAATAAAATCTTGATGGAAAATAGGCTCTTTCTCTCATGTTTGTAGCACACAATGGACTGTTCTAGAGGAGTTTCTTAAAGCATTTTTTTTAAAGCAAAACATTGAGAGAGGAAAGATCAGACATCTGTGAAGATTCTTTTTTTGTTGTTTTCTTATATAGCTGTCACCTTGACTTTGACCCCTTGCTATTATTATTTTTAAATTGTTATAGGGCCCACATCTGGAGGGGATGGAAGGGTGATGAGGTGATGTCATGTCAGACCTTGAGCATACAAGAATGTAACTTTACAACCTGAGCTATATTCCTGGACCTTTTCATTAAAAAACCTGAAACTTATTCTCATCTTTGTCCTAGGTGAATTGGTCTATTGGGTCTCATGTGTTATTCAGAGATGCCTGTTGTTATTTCTGATGTGCTGTGGAAGTGTGTGATTGTCTTCCTTGATTTCAATTTTCAATTTTTATCTGGGCCTGGAGAGAGAACTTAAAGGGATAAGGGCACTCCATAATCCCCTAGGACCCCAGAGAGCGCCCCAAGGCAAATAATGTCATTACCGCCATGACTTTCGTGAATTATGTAAACTTACAAAAGGCATTCATATTTTCATGAAAACTACCTTTTATTCAAATTAGCCTCTTTAAGATTAGTCCACATAAATGCTTTTCTTCTTCTTTTTTTTGTTGAGGCACTGGAGATAAAATCCCGGGTCTCACACATGCGAGCATACCCGGTCCCACTTAGCCACGTCCCTGGCGCGTCTACTGACTTAATCTCTCTCCAGTTTAACTGAGAGGCCTTAAAATATTGTTGTGGAAAGTCTAAAATGCCAATTTTAAATCATCTTATTCAAAATATGATTTTAGTAACTTCTTAGACATCCTACATCTATTTCTCTTTTTCCTTTATATATAAGGTTTCAGGGCCTTTGGTTAAGTTTTCCTGTAGTTTATAGTTTTCCTGTTGTGCTCCAAGGGAAGGACTAGTTGCATGTACCAGGGTTCTTGGAAGTCTATGGGTCTCCTTTCGTCAGTAACAACAGTTTTGACAGTCAAAGAAATGATCCTTTCAGAGTGTGATAAACTCCCCTTCCAATTAATGTGAAGAAAATACGTCTCTCAACAAACCGACTCCTGTATTTCCTTATAGAGTATGTATGTAACTCAACCTGTTCATGTTTTCTAAAAGGTTAAAGCTCCGCTGTTGCTCATCTCATGGTGGGTACATAGACACAATAGACCCGAATAAATTAGTGATCCTTCATCCCATTAATAAAGTTTTGAAGACAGCGGACTCACATGAAAAGATAAGTAGCAGGACATAATCATAATTGCTTAGCAAGGCAATGAAAAGCAAAAGTGGTTTGGGGCAAAAACTAGCTAGTGCTGGGGCTGGAAAAATAGCCCAGCGGGTAGGGAGTTTGCCTTGCACGCAGCCGACCCGGGTTCGATTCCCAGCATCCCATATGGTCCCCCGAGCACCGCCAGGAGTAACTCCTGAGTGCAGAGCCAGGAGGAACCCCTGTGCATCGCCAGGTGTGACCCAGAAAGAAAAAAAAAATTAGCTAGTGCTTTTCTACTTCCTAGTCTTTTTTTATCCTGATTTTTTGTTTTCGTGCTTGTTTTTTTTTTTTAATTTTTATTAGTGAAACACCATGAGGTGCTTACAAAAAAAAAAACTTACAAATTTTGGTGCTTGGGTTTCAGTTATACAATGCTCGAGTCCCCATCCCTCCACCAGTGCCCATCCTCCGCCCACCGCCGATCCCAGTCTCCCTCTGCCCCCATCCCTCTATTTCTTCGTCCTGACAGCGACGCCTCGCAATCGACCGGCTGTTGACGAAAACGGAGCACCCGGCCCAGACGCCGGTACTTTAAATTCTTTCCAGGGTGTGCGACCTGTGTCCATAGAAACGGTTGGGAAAGGCGGCCAGGAGCCGGGGGCGGCCCCCATCTCTCCCTTCTCCCGCGGGAGGCAAAGAGGCCGAGGGGAGGGGAGGGGTGGGCGTCGGGTGGGTGGGCACCCGTGCGGCGCTTTGACCAAAATCCCTTTATTTTCCCCGCCCCCCCCCCCCCTGGACGCCCCCCTCGCACTTCCCCGCAGCTCCCGCCCGAGCCCGCCTCCCCCCGACCCCGGCTCCCAGGACGCACGCGCTCCGCCCGCGGTCAGAGGGCCACTTCCGGCTTGGGCCAGCGCGCCTGCGCGCACGCCGCGGCCCCATTGGCCCGGGCCTCCTCGTGCGATGCGCGTGGCGGCGACGTGCGGCCGTGGGGGCGGGGCGACGCGGCGGCGGCGGCGGCGGCGGCGGCGCGAGTGAGCCGGAGCCCAGACGCGCTCTCGGCGGCGGCGGCGGCGGCGGCGACTCCGGGCTGGCCCCTCCCTGCTCCGGCCCCTTCCTCCCCTCCCCCCCGGCGCGACCCCCGGGACTGCCCCCCGGCCGGCGAGCTCCAGGTGAGCGTCTCCTCTCTCTCGCGGCCGGGGGGGGGGGGCGCGGGCCGGGCCGGGTGGGGGGAGCGCGCGGGCCGGGGGGCGCGCCTCAGCCCCTCACCCCGGCGGTCGCCCGGGCCTGACCCCCGCCCCCGTCCCCCCGGCATCGGCACGACCCCCTCCTCACCCCCGAGCTGGCCCCACCGGGAGTCGGACCCGGGGTGGGCGTCGTGCTGCGGGGCCCTCCGGGGGCGGGGGGCGGGGGCGGGGGTCCCTCCCCGGGTCGCGGTCGCCGGGCCGCGGGTTCCGGACCGAGGCGTCCGCGGTTCTGGTGGGGCGCTAGGCCAAGGCCGCTCGCCGTCGGCGCGGCCCGGGTCCGGGTCCCGGTCCCGGTCCCGGTCCGGACCGCGCGCTGGGCGCCACCGAACCGGGCCGGCGGCGTGCGAGACCCCCTCCCCCTCTCCCCCCCCCGAGCCCGGGTTTTTGTTTTGAGACGATTTCTCGACCTTATGCCCCCCCCCAGCACCCCCGAACCGACCCCTTGCGGGAGACTGTCATTGGGTCGTTAAAGGACCAAAACCAGAACCAAAACCCCCCCAAGCCATCAAACTTGCCGTGGGCATGTCGCAGAGAGGCGCCCCCGTCCCGAAGCTGCTCCTCCCGCGCGGGTTGTGTTGCCCCAACGCACACACGCCTTTTTTGTGTGCTGCTGTCCCTCGCCGACCCCCGCTGCCTCCTGATTCTTCTCGAACTTGCTGGCTTTCCCCCTGGCGTGCAGTTCCTCGAACCCTCGCCCCGACCCCCGGAAGGACCCGGGCCTCGCATGCGGCTCGTCCGTCGTCCGATGTTCGGGTCTCGCGCCCGCTTGGGTCCTGCCGACTCCCCGGTTCGGGTCTTCCCATCAGTGCTGGAGGCATGTGGCGCCGCAGTTTGGTGCTGAATTCATATCCAAAAAATTCGAATTTGAAAGGCAGATTTCGTTTTTAGCTTCTGTGTACCACGGGCCTCCCTCCCAGTGTATGTTCCCTTTTTTTTTTTTTTTAAATGCTTTGGACTTCTTTGGGGGTAAATTTCTCCTCGTCTCACTCGGAGAGCGGGACGATGAGTTTGTTTTCCTGAACTCGTATAAATTAGTAACTTCTTTCCCTGTTAATAGCATCACTGTCACCGGGGTACACAGACGAGACCCTCTGTAGTTGGGGTTCTCGGGTATAAATCACATTTTGTTTTCCAAAATGAAAGCGATTTTGTGCTTGATTTCAGAGGTGGTCAGACATTGTAGCAGAGAGCCAGGTCCTGCCAGCGACCTGTTTGTGTAAATTAAGCCTTTTTGGGAACACAGATATATGCATTCATTTAGGTATTGCCTGAGAATGCTTTTGCAGTAGAGTTGAAAAGTTAGAGCGGAGCCATTTGGCTTGTGAAGTCTAACATATATGTGTATATATTCAAGTCTGAAACAGTCTACCTGATTGACCCTTAGGAGGGAAAGCTTGCTAATTCCTTAATCTTGTGAAAAGCATTGCATATTGGATATACAAAATTAGAAACAGCCAGAAAAGCACAAAGGAGAAAGTAAAAATTATCCAGAATCACAGTGTCAGTCCCTGTAATGTGGCTTATCATCCTCATCTTAGTAGAATTTGTTGGTGATTGTTAGTTGTTGGTTTGTAATCTCTCTGAGAAATACCTCATTTTCATTTGATTATTTTGAATATATTTATATTTTCTGCACTAAAGATCTCCAATTTAAGGACTTGATGAAGTTCGTTTTCCTGATTTGTCTTTTGTGTGTGTTTGTGTGAAGTAAAACATTTTATTTGGAGGGTTTTTTGAAGGGAAGGAGGGAGAGACAGTGGGAGAGAGTGGAGAGCAAGAGAGACAGAGTAACGCACTCCAGAGAGCCCCTACACACACCCCAGCATTAGGCAGGAAAGCATGAAAATCCACATCTCAAGAGCAGAGATGCGGGCGACACATGTGCTTGGCCACGCAGGCACAAGCAGCATATGCACCTCCTGATTTGTCTTACCAGTCAAAACTTTAGAAAAATAATATTCAGGAATAATAAATGGTCGCTGGTGCACACCACCATTTACTGGGCTCTGTGAATTACAGCGGTTTCAGTCCATGAGGCATGGTGACCTTGCACTGGCCGCTAGGTCAAGTCAGTGACTTAAATGCACTGTGGTAGAAAGAGAGTGTTGAAACTTTTCATACATACCCATGGGTCATTGGTTTGCAGATCAGTGCTTCGTACTTCTTTCTTTTTGTTTTTGGACCACACCCAGCCATGTTCAGGGATTACTTCTGGCTTTGCACTAAGAAATTACTCTTGGCAGTGCTCAGGGGGACCTTATGGGATGCCGGAGATTGAACTGGGGTCAGCGTCTGAGGCTAGCACTCTGCCCCAGGGTACTATTATTCTAGCCCTGATAGTTTTTTAACGGTTTACGTACAGAAAATAACTTATTTAATACCTGCAGCAGCTCTAGGAGAAGCTGACACAGTTTCGTTGCCCAAGAATATCATCTAGTACAGGGCTGCTGTTCCATTTGCTACCCTTTGTCATCTGAAAAACCTATATGCAATCCCAGACATACAGGGGTATATCAAGTAGTTGTTCAAATTAAACATTTATTGATAATGGCACTGTCCTCCCGTTCATCGATTTGCTCGAGTGGGCACCGGTAACCCCTCCATGGTGAGACTTGTTACTGTTTTTGGCATATCGAATATGCCACGGGGAGCTTGCCTTGGAGGGTGTTTGCCTTACTGATAATAAATCATATACTTATTTGAAAACAAGTATTTAAAAAGTTAAGTCTCCCTATGACCCAAGGTTTAAGGATAAGCCAGGGTGTGGTAAACGATAGAACTGGGATTTGAATCCTTGAAGTTTGATTTCACCGCCCATGCTCTCGTATGCTGTAGAGCCTCTCACAGTTCTGCTCAGTCTAGAAAATAGTACAGAAAATTCCCAGATCACCCTCCCCTTCATTTGTTTTTATAATGTCTTGGATTAATGTGGCATATGTTAGAATTGATCAGCTAGTTTTGTTACATTGTCCTTGAGATCAGTAGTTTATGTGGACACAATTTTTTTTGTATTGCTATTTTGAAAAAATGGATTAAACTGGGTAAAGCTGTTTTGGGTAGTTTTTCAGAATATGCTTGGATCTTTTAATGTAAATAAATATTCACTGTCACTGTCCTCCCGTTGTTCATTGATTTGCTCTAGTGGGCCCAGTAACGTCTCCATTTTGAGACTTCTTGTTACTGTGTTTGGCATATCGAGTACGTCACAGGAACCTTGCCAGGCTCTGCCGTGTAGGCGAGATACTCTGGGTAGCTTGCCAGGCTCTCCGAGAGGGGCGCAGGAATCGAACCTTGCTCGGCCTGGCTGGCTGCGCGCAAGGCAAACACCCTACAGCTGTGCTATTGCTCCATCCCCCCCCATGGTGCTCCGGAGTTATTCCTGACTCAGGGTTCACTCCTCACAGGCTTGGGGGACCATGTGTCAGGAATGAACCCTGGTAGGATGAACCTGGGTAGAATGCGTACGGTGCAGGCTCCCTGCCCATTTATTTTACTGTCACTCTGGCCCTCAAACATTCTTCTTTTTTTTTGCTTTATGGGTCACACCTGGTGATGCACAGGGGCTCCTTCTGGCTCTGCACTCAGGAATTACTCCTGGCAATGCTCAGGGGCACTATATGGGATGCTGGGAATCACACCCGGGTTGGTCACGCTGCATGCAGGGCAGACGCCCTACCCGCCATGCTATCATTCCAGTCCCCCAATTTAGCGTTCTCAATTCAGTAATTTTCAGATTAGAAGTGACCTTTAGCCAGGAATTTTATTTTTTGGCTTAGGGCCACCTGGCTGTGCTCAGGCATTACTCCTGGTCTGGCTTGGGCATAATTTGTGGTGCTGGGGATCAGACCTGGGTTGGCCACATGTAAGGCAAGCACTCTCCTCGCTGTCTGTTACTCTGGTTCTAAACTATTCTATATTTGTTTTGTCACACATGACGGTGCTCAGGGCTGACTCCTGGCTGGCTCTGTGCTCAGGGATCACTTCTGGAAGTACAAAGGGAAACAGGTGGAGTGCCGGCGGTTGAGCCTAGCTTGGCCAAGTTCGAGGCAAGTGCCCTACCCACAGGTGCTCTCCCGCTCTATTCTTAGTCTCTTACAGGCCTGTATCTTAGAGTGTCAGCTGTTTGTCTCTGGAGAAACTCATATTTTGACGGGTTATTCTGGCTTCTTCATGAAGTTCTATCTTCTTGGGAAACTTCTTGCTGGTTTTCATTGGAATGTTGGTGCGCGTCAGCCCACTTACCATCCTCATCCTTCTTCCTGAATCCAGTACTTCCCAGACTCCGCATTCTCTTCCTCTTCCTCCTTTATAGGACTTATGTTCCTGGAATGTAAACTTTAGCATTTCATTCTTCATATTCTGCATTCTGGTTTTATTATATAGACTTGTGTAGTGTTACCCCAGAATTTTCTGCTGCAGCATCTGAGGATTCAGTATTTGTGGAAGAGCTGAAAGTTCTTGCAGATATCACATTCTGTTTTCGTTACTTTGTTTGGGGCCATACCCAAGGTGCCCAGGGATCACTTCGACGTCTCGGGATCAGGTGGGGTGCCAGGATCAGACCTGAGTTGGCTGCAAGCGAGGCAAGTGCCCTACCCGTTGTACTGAGCTACTGCATTGTGGTGTCTGAGCTTCGATACCACATTTTAAATGTTGGTATGTTTTATTTTATTTTTCTCCTTTTTGGCTTTTGGGCCAAACCTGGTGGTGCTCAGGACTGGTTCTGCTCTCAGAAATCACTTGTGGTAGGATTCAGGGTATCCCATTAGGTGGTGTGGCTGGAACTCTGGACTGCATGCAAGGCAAGTGTCTAGCCACTGTCTTTTATTTCTTGCCCTGTATGTTTTAATACTGTGCGTTAAACACTATTAAACAGGCCCAGGTTTTACAAAGTGCTTCAGTCATGGACAGAGCTATTATCTTTC